TAAAATTACAGGAAGTGAACAAGTTTTTGTGAGGCGTTGTTTTTTGACCTAAATGATAATCATGATCAATTTTTGGCCAATCTGATTGTTTGGTAAACACATTGAGGAAGACGCTTGAGAACGGCTTAAATAGCCAATCATATGGAATCTTCCTATGAGATAAATTGATACATAATGTATAAGTGACGACATATTACAGTAACCATTCAAATTTTTTGATCACATATATCGATTCAAATGCAATAATAAAAGATCCGTTTTGTATTTTACGTAAGGTGAAATGATGAGCCACTAATATTTATTGAAATTTGGCTGAAGCTGATGTTGTTAACCAATTTCAGTAATTATATTATTTAATGAGCCACACGTATTCTTCGCGATAGATTGTAAATTTACTACTACGTATTGAAATAAATAAAAGCCAATTTTAATCAAAAATATTTACTCAATATTTTTTAAATTTGTAAGCCCTTTCAAAGGCCTTTTTTACGAAGATTCTTTAATTTACATGTAAAACTAACCACAGCCCAATGAATTGTCAAAATAAAAAACACTACATTCATGTAAATTTAATTAATAATATTTTAAGCCATAAATTATTGCAGAATTGAATATTATACATTTTTTTTCATGAAAGTAAATGAATGATTCTTTATCCAAATGAATGAAGAAAATGAAATTTCACAAGCATCAATGTCTGAACGTACTGAAGTTGAAATAGATCCTAAGCCATCTGGAGCTCATAATGGCAAGGCAATCACAAAATTTTTATTATCACCAAATGAAATATACGCAGCAACATGGAGTAAAGATGATGATTCAGTTTACGGATGGCCACTTGATAAAGATCAACCCTTCGAGTTTGATTATTTTATAAACGTTAAAGATTTTTGTAAGAATTCTGACCCACAATTAAGTGCAGTTTCAAACGATAAACTTGTCGCAATAGAATCGGTTAATAAAGAACTTCTTAATTATGGAGTAATTGGTTAGTGTAAAATTAATAAATTATCAGTAAATAATTGTTAATATTCACAATATTACTTGAAAATAATTTTAAACTGTTTATATTCTTTTAAAGAGATCATTAATCTCGTCACCAATACGAAAATAAAATTAGAAACATTATGTCTAGATAAGTCAGTGACGGAAATTTGCCTAGTTGGTTGCAGATTTTATAATAATGGAAATTTAGTTATGGGTTCACAAATATTAAATAATTATGATAATAGAACACATTATGAAGTTTTTATATTTCCATTCAAAAATTTAAATAAACAAAGTTGGAAAGTTAGTAATTCGATTGCTTGTGGAGTATCTGGAGAGATGAAAGCATATGATTTTACTGATAATGAAAAAATTATGATTATTGATTCCTGTGGTTTATTAACACAATGGAATTTAAATACATTATCATTTGAAAAACAGTATCAATTAGAATGGAATAAGATTTGGGCGCTCCATCCATTGGAAAAAGATTTTTATGCTTTTAATAAATGTTTCACATTATTTGCGGTATGTTTACAAGTTACTGACTATTTAGAAGCAGATTTATTTATCTCTGTTTATTTGACAGAAAATGCAATGCATTTATCACAACGTAAGTATTTTTTATGAAACAAAAAGAAATTATTTTATACTAATTTATTTATGAATTTAATATTATTAATTATTGATTAACAGATAAAATTAAATATGAAAATGATAAAACTTTATTACGCTCGGAATTTATTTCATCTGATGAAGGAGAAAGATTACTTTTATTTTTTGATGATAATAATATTGAAATAAGAGATCCTTATCATCTTCAGCATTGTATTATTAGGACTGTTTCGGATCTTTGTAGAGAACTTTCAACATCAAATAAAGAGAGTTTGTTAATGTTTGAAGCTTTGATAGATGAAAAAATATACAATATATCAAATGGTCATTTATGGGTTCAAGAGCTTACTAAACAGCAATGGGTCACATACTTACGAGAACAATTAATGGATAAAACCAAAATAAGAGCACTACCTAATAAGTCTCAAATAGAAAATATGTTGCAAAATATTATAGATGAACATAGTGATAAGAGTGATGATGAATTTATTGTCAAGAAAATAAATCCGCCATATCATGGTTTATTAGTAAAATGGGAAATAATGAACAACGGAAGATTAATACAAGCTCAAAAATTTGATTCGATTACAAACGAGTGGAAACCTTTAGAATGGAAAGTTTACCCAAAACATCTAGTGGAATTTGAAAAACCTCCAAAAAAATTTGTTTATAGATGTGATTTATTGTATAACGAAGATTTAATAATTATTACATCCATTGGTCTATTAATTTTGTCAGTTTGGGAAAAAGATGAAATTAGAATACGATATTACAAAGGATTTCCTTTTAAATATAGTTTTCTACTCAGAAAGGATATTAAAAATCAAATGATATCAGGTTATATAGGAAAGGAATCTGAATATAAAAAAAAACAATTTTTTGCAAAGAAATCGTATATTCAAAAATTACTTGATGAGATAAAACTGCATAAGAAATCTTTATTGCCACCACCGGATTTTGATGCAATTACTCTCTATTATGAAGATTTATGCATGGATGGAAGATTCCCTTTTAAAGAATTAATAGACGATTATATTGAAGACAAAGTAACAATGTCATTATATGGACACGATCTTTTAAAGAGTTTTTTTAAGAATAAAGATCATCAAATGATGGAGAAATTGTATGCAAAGTGTATTAAAATAAACACAGAGAAAGATAACTTTTTATCCAATTTTAAGTTATTTGAAATTGTCACCTTTTCAATTAACGACATATCAGTGAAATCTCCAGACTTACTAAATCAATTTTTATCGTATACGTCATTTACTCTATCAAGTACGGAAAAAGAAATTGTAATTGGGAGACTATCCTCTAAATCACATCTCCAGAATCATAGAACGCATATACATCTGTCTAATATTTATTTCACTAATAGACTTATCACATTTTTGCAAAACATCAAAGAATTAGTTTTTGCATTTTTAGAAGAAAAAAAGTTTTTAAAAAAACCTGAAGAGAATCCAACTTTAATTTTAATTTTTCCACTACCAAAATTTAATTCTTATACTAGAGATTATAATCCTTGGAAAGAATTACTTTTTCCAAATCCCAGTCCATTTTGTTATTATCAATATTCGGAACTTTATAAATGGTGGAGTGGTCAGGCTCTTATTAATTTCAAGTGGAACACCTACGGAAAATATTATTTCATTGCAATTTTGACTTTTTATTTAGCTTTTATGGGCTGTTTTTTGATAGTAGCGACTATAGAAAAAGATCTATCCAGTAGCACACAACAATTACTATTAATTGCAACAATAGTGCTTGGAACTTTACATCTAAGTTTTGAATTGCGGCAATTTATTTATTCACCATCATCATGGATGACCAATCCTTGGAATTATTTTGGTATTTACATTCAATTATTATTATTAATTTTAATAATCTCCAAAGTTTAGCATTAAACATAATAATTTTATTTAAGATGTATTAGCAATTTTATTTCCTATATCGACTTCTATTATATGGCTAGAATCTTCTAAAATTCCAGTCTGGAATGCTACAATATCTACATTATTCCTTGAAATCAAATTTCTGGCATTTTTCCGTACTGTTGAGCTTACTGGTGTTTATTTTGCAATGATTATCGGGGTTGCAGAAAGTGTTTTTTCGTTTTTAGTAATATTGGGGTTTATTGTATTCGCTTTCGCACATTCTTTACATATTTTATTAAGACCAACTACCAATGTTTCTTTAAGTCAGCCTAGTAATTCCGATGATCCAAATGATCCTTGGAATCTTGTAACCTCTTACTATTCGGTTTTAGGTGATGGTACAGTTTCAAAACAGGCTACACTTACTGAACTTCCCGATACATCTACAAATATGTTTACAATGCTATATACTGCTTTTTTGGCCGTATATATAATGTTGACGGGTACATTTTTTAATTAATATTTTTTCATTTTAATTAACAATACTTGAGAACAATTTGATTAATTAAATCTATTATTTATATTATTTATATTATTTATAGGCGATTCAACATATTTATCTTATTGGGTATTGACTGAAGATTTAACATTAGCACTTTTAATAATGTGTTTTTCTTTTTTCACAACTATCTACTTGATGAATCTATTTATTGGTTTATTAAGTAATGCAATTCCTGAAACGAATAGAAAGGAATTATTTTTACTTCAAAAAGCAGAGGTAATAATCATATGTTTATTATAATATTTACTATTTTATTTATATTTTTCTAAAAAAAAATGTGTACAGTTTTTAGCAGAAATTGAACTGTTTTATATGTTACCTTATCAACGGAGAAAAAACAACTGGTTTCCTGAAATTATGTAATTGTCAATATTTAATACGTTACTAATATTAATATAATACTATTACACCATTAATTTTTTTATTAGGACGAGTCTATTTGTCGCTGGCGATGACAGACCCAAGCCAATCAAATTAAATGATTTAAAAACCTTATAATTTTCGGATCAAAATAACTCAAAATTATGCTCTTAACAAAAAAAATATTCTTGCCATAATTTTATTATATATTATAACCATTTCAAATATAAATATAACTTCAATTAAAATCCGGGTACTGTCACCGCCGGCAACAAATAGATTATTCCTTTTTATTAAATATAAATTTAATTTATAACTTTTTATATTATAGATTTTATAGATTTCATCTCGACAAATTTCACGACATAGTCAAAAAAATAAAAAATGATAAATGGGAAGATATTAATGAAATGCCATTTATTTCCGATATTCTTTTAGAACTCACTAAAACAGAAATCGAAAATAGTAAAAAAATTCAAAATTTAAAAGGTAATGATGAAAAGGTAATTCAGGAATTCAAAAACTTTTTTAGTGAAGAAATTGAAAAATTAAAAACAATGATAGAAGAATTAAAAAATTAGAAATAATAGAGATAGATCAATTTTGAACTATTTATAATTTATTATTAATCTATTAAACTAACTAAGTGCTTGTGCACCAGTTATATACTTCACTACTTGATGAAAAAAATACTATTTCCTGTATAATATTTTTTTTCCTATCATATATATTAGTCTTATTTTGCATTAAAATGGTTTAATATATTTTATGTAAGTAATGTACTATCATGTATGATAAGCAAACAAAATGCGTGATAAACAATTTATGATTAGGGTTACAGGTAGAGATGGGTTTCATGCGTGCGCGTGATTGCGGAAACATGCGCATTAATGCGCATTCATGCGCATGATTCCGTTTCATGCGCATTTTATCCCATCAAGATTTCTCTCCTCTCGATCGTTTTTTCTTTTTTTTGCCTTTTTTTTTATCATGCGATATCATGCGCATGGTATTTTAAAATGCGCATTTTCCCCATCACTAGTTACAGGTTAGGCTAGATTTAGGGTGTGTGTAGGGTATGGCATATGCCAAAATTTGCAAAGAAACTTTTTTGTTAGTGAATTATTGAGTTATAGTTTTTTTTGATTTTTTTCAATTATTTTTACTAGTATGAAAAGTCTAGAAATAATACATAACAATAAGCGTTTCCAAGGAAATATCTTAATTTGTATGATGGCTAATGTCGACTTATTGATAGATTTGATAGAAACTTGTATAATTAATTAAGGCTTAAGTCTCTAGTTACGTACCATAATCGTTAAATTAAAGGATATTTTTGATATTATATAGTAAGGCAGTTTTTATAGTAAAATCATGCAAGGCAATTTTTTAATTAAACTATAAAGGCAGTTAATTCTGTGAAACTTTGTTATATTCACGATTTTTTCAAAGATTTTTTTGAATTTTTTCGTGTTACACTTGATCTTGACTTTTGATTTGTTCAGAACATCACGTGTTCGGAAAATCGACTACATTCACTGTCATATGGAGAAGTTCGTCTGATTGACTAATGTAAACAATTGCCCGATAACTTATTTAAAAACTTTAAAGTACTTTTGGTAGCATAACATTTTACTAACAAAAATTGCCGCAAAACCCATTTATAGCTTTAGAATAGTGCCGATATTCACCATCAAAAGAATCCAAAAAAGATCTTTTTTCTCACAGACTTTGCTTATAAGACAAAATATACTGACCGTTTATTTTTGGCAATCTCAAATTATATTTAAAACGAAGATAAGTGAGAACGTTTTTGTTCAAGACATTATATTTGAAAAACATTCATTACTTACAATTGAATTTGAACAAGAATGGGTTTATTGTAAAAGAAGCTGGGTTTAATATATGAATATGCTTGGTTCTTGCATTATATTTGGTCTGTTAATTATAATAAGTATAAATAATTTGAATTAGAAAGAAATAATAATAATAAATTATATTGCACATATCAGTAATCCGGACAATAATATATCCAAAGATAATCTTGTACGTATTACAATATTATAAAAGACTTAAGATCCTTTAATAAAATAATAGGCAAGTTTCGCTTGAATATAAACGTTTACTAAGTGATTTACCTTGTGGTCGTTGGGAATGAGTCGTCAGAGAGAAGGTGGATAGAACCTTAATGATACTCCAGTAGAAGTATAAAACCAAGCAAGTATAAATTTGATGTGAAAATAAACAGACCTGCATACTGTATATCATCGCAACAAAAGTAAAGTCTGAAAACAACGCAACGAAACAGAGCTTAGAATTGTTGTCGATAGTATTTAATCCTTTTGTTGGTTCATCTTTTTTTTATTCCGATCTTATTAAAATGTGTAATAATCATTAAATGGTAAACTAAAGGTGTTTACTCAAGCATCAATTGCAATCAAGTTGTTTACTCAAGCATCAATTGCAATCAATATTATAATTTATTATGGTGTTTGAACATTGCTATAATCATGAATTAATCGAGTAGCGGAAGATATGTGAGAATAATTCAATTATATTATTACTCATATTATTGGTTTTCAGCATTGCCCTAATCAAATATCACCATAATGGTGTGACCACCACAATCACTATCTAAACACACAAGGTGCCACTTGAGAACACCCAAAAGCTGGCAAATATGTGATCACATGCGTTTGCATAGTAAATGATGGTTAAAAACGAACAGAAATCCATTATTGTAGCACATAGTAAGCATTAATCTATTTTAAAACCTAAACGCAAACAAAGTACAAGAAATAGATTCCAGAATGTTTTGCAAGAACCAATTTAAAAATATTCTTTCAAAGAAATTAAATATTTTATTGAATATAAATTTTATACTTTAAAGAATCACTAAATTTTCACATGCAAAAAGTTTCTTCAAATCTTGAATTCCATTAGTAGAATTTTTCTATTTCAAATGCTTTCACCTGAAAAAGCCAAATATACTTTACTAAATTTTTAAAATTTGGATTTGGTAAAAAATAACTAATTTTTACCTAAATTTTTAGTAATATTATGC